CCACCTGTGCACACCACTGAGGGGCTTTGGTTTTTGCTTCATGATGCCCTGCAATCTTTCCTTCTCCTCAAACAAAACACAGCAAAGGTCCTTATGTTTAAAACTCCTATTTCCACAGCAAGGTCCTGCTCAGCACAGGAGGGCTGCCCGCAGCTCCTCACATCTCTGCTTGCTGTGCTCACCACCCTTAGAGCAGACCTCGCAAGGCTCGCCACGCTCTGCCCTACTTGTTTCTGCCCTGCTTTCTTCTCCCGGGGTTTTATGAGGTCCGTGAAGGCAGGGAACACATCTTCTGATCCATGATCATGGGGGCAGATGAAGAGGAGATGGAGGGAGGAAGATGCAGCAATGAGAAACAAAAGGAACTAACGGGGAAAGTCCAGTTTTAAAGAAGCTTTTGTAGAATCTTTTTGCTAAAAGCAGATCCTTCAAATACCTAATACATCTTCTTTCTGGAACAACTCCAAGAAACTGAAGCGTTACACAACATCTTCAAATTTTTTTGGCCAACATTAGACTTCCTTTCTCCCTCATCTTTTTGTCTCGGCTCAGTCACTTGATACATATATATATATATCCTGCGTGACCAGGATAGCACTGCATTTTGGTCATTACTGGGCCCTGAAGTGTGATCAATTTCCTCTAAGTTCCCTCCAGATGAGCTGCTTTTGGTAGAGGGCACATGCTTCTGCCTTCTGTATTACTCACATTAGAAGAGTTAACCTTTTTATATGAAATTTTGAGGTTTACCAAAACAGGATGCCAGTGATCCTCAGGTCCAAAGTAGGTTCTCTCGTCATTCTTCCTCAGCATATTCACCAAGAGGTATCCTGCTGCAAAGCCCTCCCTGGACACTGGCCTCTCCCTTCATTCCAGGTCATCTACCTTTAGGAAGGACGCACGGAGAGAACTGAGTGCGTCTGCAGGTCACTTCGTCCTTTCCAGAGAAGGCCATCCACTGCCTTTCCCAGGACAGCAGCAACAGTTCCAGCGCCCGACTCTTCCCCAGGGAAGAGCAGAGCCCTGCACTCTGGATCCAGCTCAGCGAAGCTGCCTCTTGCTCCAGACTCCAGGGTCGACCTCTGGCAAGCACTCTGCCCGGCTACACCAGCCCACCACACTGGGGTTACTGTCTCACTCACCCTTCACAAACCACCTCTGCTCCGTGGCTCCAGGGAAGGAGTCACCTGACAGAGACCTAAAAAGCAAAGCTCCTTACACAGCGCTGTGACCACAAATGCCACCCAAAGGCAGGCTGCTGTCTGGTTTCCTATTACCTGTCCTTGAGAGAGTACGTGAGGCCACTTCACAAGGGCCTGGAGCACTTTGCTTCACATTATGTTTACAATTTTATTTAGAGAGGTGGACTTCACAGCTTCTGCCACTTGGTAACCCTTCAACACAAGGGCTTAACGTGAATCCTTAAAATCAGTTGAGTAGATGTCAAACACTCAGAACTGCAAATGACTCACACTGATAGAGGTTAATGTCCTGTGCTAAGCAAGAAGAGAAAGTACCCATTTGGCCTTCTGATTCCATCTGCAAGTGACTGAGTCAAATAAACCCATAAATGATGATGGCAGGGGGGTAACGGGATGGGATACTACAGCAGCCCCAGAGAAGGGCTGGAGCTGCCAGCGCAGGGCTGCTCCTCCATCCTCCTTCCCCGCGCTGGACTTCTGTCCGGACTGTCTTCTCTCCTTTCCCAGCACAGATCTAAAAGAATCTGTTTCTAATTCAAATAACCACCTAACGACCAAGGACTACGCTCCTGAGCAGGTAAAATGCAGTGACCCAGGCCTTGGGGATTACTAATCAGTTACTGAGAAGAAAACAATACAGAGCCCATTTAAGAGTTTCATCAGCCTTGTCTTCTATAGCCTTGTCTTCTCATATTAGTTCACTCAGACAAACAGAAAAGCCATCATATACTCGTGGAGCTTAGAAGTCCCCTAGCCTGTTAGTCCACAGGTAAGAAGAGACACAGCATGGTGCTCCTGGGCTCAGGCTGCATGCTGGTTAGGGACAGAGCCCCACCCAGAACAGCAGAACAGGGCTTTCCACCACACTGCCAGACTCCAAGAAAGAATTTGAAATACCAGGCTCCATTACCCAGAGCATCTGATGGGCCAGAAGTTACATCAACTCCTCTTCCTCCTCCTCCTCTGCCTCCTCTTCCTCCTCTACCTCCTCCTCCTCCTCCTCTTCTGAAGAAAGCTGCCCAAGCTTAGGCTTTGGCCTTTACTATGAAGTTAGCCCGAAGGGAGTCTCATGAAGATGCTGTTAAGGAGCCCACAGGAGGCAAAGAGCCTATCAGTGCTATAGTCCTCCTGTTTGGATTCCAAACTCACAGGTGAGGGACTTCAACCAAGGCACATGAAGCGTGTGGCCTCACCTGCAGCATGAGAGTATGACCTTACACATTCCACTCCTCAGTTCACCGCATGAAAGCAAAATTCAATCTTGGTTCACACAGAGTGTGAAGTAAAATAAGAAAATCTTGAGAGTCAACACACAATAGGCATTGTAGCTGTTTAAAGACAGGTTTAAGTATATTATCAAAGAGTTCAGATAATTCACAGAAGTAGAGAGTAGAAATGTCAGTGACCAGGAGAGGGAGAGGGACAGGGCAGGGGAGAGGCTGGTGACACCAGATGTAGGCTCTGGTACTTCGCCACACAGCACTGGGACTGCAGTTAACGCGTACTTCAGAGATTCCAGAGAGAGGGTGGAAATGTTCTCACCACAGATAAATGAGCTGAGATGAGGGATGTGCTAACCACCTTGACCTGATAATCCCTCGGTGTCCATGTACTGCAGCACAGTACTGTACTCCCTAAATACGCATACTCATGTTCTCAACTAAAAATAAAACAAAACTCTTTTTAAAAAATGAAAGAGTTCCATTACTAAATAAGCCAACAAAAAATTTATATCTCAAATAGCATTCAACTCCTGTCATGGTTAAAGAAAGCTGCAGAGATGAAGGCCTTCTCTTCACTCTAGGGAAGCTACCTGCGAAGCTACTGTGACCCCACCACCCGTGAAGTAGCAATGGATGATTTCTGTCACACCTTAAGTAGCACTGTGCCATGATGGTACTGCAACCAGTCTGAAGATGCTGTCTGTAAGGAGCATGGCAAAATAATCATCAGCCACAGTGGAGACTTTACAGAAGTAAACAAGGGAGCAGACACACAGGCAGACGTCCACGTTCCCTGAAGGGTGTTCACAGGGGCTAACGGCAGAAACGACCTGCCGTCCTCTGCCGATGAGTGACCACACAGCACGTGGTATATGCTATATACAATGGAATGCTACTGAGCTTGCAGGAGGAATTCTGATACCTGCCACAGCACGGGTGAACCTGGGGAACCTTCAGTATGAAGTGAGCCATACGCAAAAAACAAATATTACACGTTCTACTTATGCAAAGTAGAACGGATGGGGCGATACAAAGCAGCTCTGGAAGGTTGTGACGATTGCCCAAAAATGTCAACATGCTCCATGCCACTACTGAACTGTACATTTAAAAAGTCAAAAATATATTATATATTTTACCATAATAAAAAAAATCAAAGGAAACTGCCACTCAATGGTGAGATGATTATGACTCAAGGCTCCTTTGTTCAAGCAAATAAAATATGAAAAAAACAAAAGCAAAACACCCAGAAGCCAGTGTCACTCATACCACTTTATATACACAATCAAAGAAAAACAGTCTGGGTTTCACCCCACAGTCATTTCTCCTGGTGTTTATCGCTAAAATAACTCAGGGCCAGCGTGGCTGAGTGACATACGAAACACTAAGCCCTCACTGCAGTCAGACACGCAGAGAGAAAACACAAGGGGAAGCCAAAGCCATGGGACTCTGTCAGCAGCCTGACATAGCAACATCTGTTGACCCAACAATCCTTTGAATCCAGGGGCCTGACCATGCGGCAGGGCAGGGATCTTCACCTTGGCTGTGAAGTCCTACTTTCGTGTCACAGGGCACTTCTGGAAGGAAGTTCTGTGACGGCCAGCTCGGGGGACTTGCAGATTTCCTACCAGTCCTACAGGATGTCACTCTCGTGTCTCACCTGCGCGAGTTCCTGTTATGAGGCCAGGCTGGTGAGCTGAACTCAGATCCAGGGAGTGATGTCATCAGGACTGAGACATGATCCTGGTGACCTGCTCCCCAACCTGGTGTTGTTGCAGCCCTTCAGCTGGGGTTCAGGTTATAAGGGGACCAGAAAGGAAAAAGGGGAGTAGAATAATAGAGAAAGGAAAACTGCTTGCACATTTCCTTTGTTTCACTAAAGCGCTTTCTGCTTCCATGGAACTTGCTGGGAGGACCTGGCTGATGGCAGATGGATCTGTACAGAAGCTTACGGAGCAGGGGTGGGCTCCGATGTGTATCTCAAAAACGCAGGAGAAAAATTTCAAGGACTGGGGATATAGGTCAGTGACAGAGAGCCTGCCCAGCATGCATATGGCTCTGGGTTTGATCCTTAGCACCACACACAAGAAAGAAAAGAAAGAAAAAAAAACAAGACAGGGTTGGAAAGAGAGAGAGAGAGAGAAACTTTTACTATTTTGAGTGGTGTGGCCACTAACTTGGATAGTGTCTTATTTTTCCTTGAAAAAAGTTAAAAATTGACAACACTTTTTAAACGTTTGTAGATCTTTCTGAACAACGCATGACAAGAGTTATCTTGGTAACATAAAGAAAAAACAAATACAAACGTCTGGAGATGCTCGCAGCCTTCTACATAATATCAAGTAGACAAGGAGCTCGAGTCTGAAACCGTTATCGCTGAAATAAAATGCCTGCCATTCCATTCCATTTAGACCAGATCCTCTGGCGCCTTTTGGTCCACTTACCAAAAAGTAAAATGAAGTTAAATATACACAGCAGCAGCAAAAGTTGACAATATTCTGAAAAGGAACAATAATAAATTCTTTGGAAAATGTTTTAAATATTTAAAGCTGTCAGCCAGTAAAGAAGGAGACATCTACCTGGTTAGCACATTTATTTTCTGTCATGATTTCTTAGTCCCCACTAAGGTGATACAATTTGTGAAATAAATACTCTGTTCCCTTTTTTGCTGCACACGTGCTGACAAGAGCAGAAAGAACAGAATGAGCAAAGGGTGCAAAAAACAGAAAGAGGAGGAAAGAAAGAGGAGGCTGAACTGCGAGAAGAGTTTACAGTTCTTCCCCTAAAGCACTACTGAGCCCAAAGTCCCACGCCGACGACAGTGATTTCTCCCTCTAAAACCATGCAGAGCCTCATTTGAAATCCCTCACTATGCAGCGTCTCGGAGAGGGTTTCCTCCTAGACGTCACGTGTGTCTTTTCTGTTACTTCTTGAGCCCCATCGATGACACTGTTCATCAAGCACTTTCCATGCATTATTCGCAAATAATCTGACTGTGCAAACCAAGCTTGGTTAGCAGACGGTCATCAGCTGCCACGGCAGGTTCCTTCTTTCAAGTGAGACAGCTTCACACTCAAGCTGTGAGGCAGAGGGACTGCCAGAGGAACCTTCCTGTTCCAGCCGATAGCACACAACAAACCTCGCCTGCAGTGCCACCTTGGTTACAGGTATGTACACAACCGCTCCTGGCACAGTCAGCTGGTGTCTTGCCCAGACGCTAAGTGTATGTGAACGCTCTTTTAGCTCCTCCCCTCGGTCACTGCCAGGCCTCCATCCAATGCTTGCTGCCCCGTAATCACTGTGATCAGGGAGATCACCATGTCACAGAGCTCAGAATGTGCGCAGGCAGCCCTGGGCGGTGCTCAGCTCATCAGTTCTGTCCAATCCACAGGGGTGAAAAACGGGTGAGATTTGATGTCTTCCACACCGGCCACTCCAGCACCCAGACGCTCCAGGGGGTTGAACTGCAAGAGCTAAAGGAAAAGGATTTAGTGAGCCACAGGAATCCAACCAGGGAATCAAAGGAAAACCAAGGGAAGAGACTCTCAACAGACAAATTGACTTTATCACCGACAGTGTTTTCACGAAAGACAGCAGTGTCCAACATCACTCCAGCCGTGGGGTACAGGGTGCATCTCACTGAATTTATGGTTTTCAACTGTTCTGAAAGATGACCTTGGGTGATTTACTTAATTTCCCTCAACCTCACCACACAGTACACAAAGATTAATTTCCTATTCCCAAGGTGCAATAGGACATAATTAGATGTTGCATTAAATTCGTAATTCATATGTTTGGGGGCACAGTATGTTTTAATTGGTAACTAACTACTACAGTGGTTTGAACTAAACTTTACCTAGAGTCTACACAAGCTAATCTGTATCCCTAAATCTTTTTTTAGGGACTGCTGGCTCAAATGAAATAATTTGATTCAATGAATGAAACAGGTTTTGATTTCTTCAGAAACATAAATCACATGTAAAAGAATTGTTATATGAGCAGGATTGTTAGTAGTGGAAAACAGAAGTAATCTTATACAATTATCTCAGGGCCCTGGGCGTACTGAAGGAATCTTGTCTTGAGATAAGTCATGCATCCTCAAATTCATACGCTATGAAATTCAACCACCATCAACAGATACAGTTGGGCGATTTTTTTGGTTTTGTAGTAAACGCAGAGATGTGTAAGCCCCATCACAATCCAGTGCTAACACACCGATGGCCTGAAGCTTCCTCCTCCTGGTCTTCTGCAGTTCATTCCCACCTGCCAACCCCACCACGGCACCGCCAGTCTGCTTCCTGTCTCTATGAATTTGCCTTTTCTGAACTCTCCATGTAAATCTAACCAAAGAACACATTATCTTTGTAGCTTCTTTTCCTCATTCAGCACAATGCCTTTCAGATTCACCACTCTGGCAGTACCAGCGTTTTGTGAATCGATCCCACTGTTTGATACGCCACATTTTGTTAATCCCATCACCGATTACAGAAGCTCTGGATTTCCAGTTTGAGCTGACAATGGATAATACTGCAGTTAACATTTGGACACATTTTTTCATTTCTTTGGGGTACATTCCTAGCAGCAGAACTGCTGGACCACATGGGAAGTTGTGTGTAATTTTTGAAGAAATTACCAGGCTTTGATGCAGTGCCCGTAGGCGTGGGAGAGGGCTCCAGTTCCCCCAGCGTCTCAGCACTCGGTCTTTTTGGTAACAGCCCTTCTAGTGCACACTAGTGATACCTTATTATTCTCTTAATTTGACATTAAGCATATTTTCATGCTCTTATTGTCATTCACATAGCTTCCATGGGGAAATAATGTTTTGCCCACTGTAAACTGAAGTTAGCTGTGATACTCATCAGAATTCTTTGTACATTCTGAATTCAAGTCAATACATTTTCTCTCAGTTTGTGGCTTGTCTTTTGATTTTCTTAATGCTGTCTTTTTAAGTGCTCAAGTTTTTAATTCTAATGAAGTCTACTTTATCAATATGTCCTTTTATGAGTGAAGAGTTGGTGTCATGCCTAATTAGTTCTTTGCTTAACCCCAGGTCAGGGAGACTTTCTTCTGTTTGCTTTTACAATTTTTACACTCCTAGGTCTTATGTGCAGCTCTGTTGATCACCCCAAGTTACTATTTTCCCCCTATGGTATGAGGGGTCTTAATACATCCTGTTTTTAGCATTGTGAATGAATATTTGACTTCCTGCCACCATTTGTGAAAAACACACTCGTCTTAATTGCCGTCACGTGGAATTAGTATTAGCCCTCCACCTTCGCCTCGTCCTTTGACAATTGTTTTTGGATATTCCAGGTCCTCTGGCTTTTAGAACACTTAGGAGTCAGCTGATGTTTCCCAGTTTTGCTGATCTTTTCAAAGACTTTGTGATTTCAGTGGTATTTCTTTCCTGTCTTACTGATTTCTGCTTTCTTCTGCCTGCTTAGGGAACCTTGCTTTTTATGCTTTGTTTCTATAGTTTCTTATGCAGGCTTAAACTTTTGAGATTTTTTCTTTTTTCTTAGCATACAGTTAAAGACATAAACTTTCCTTAGTAACTGATTTAGCTCCATAAATACACTGTTTTCATTTTCATGCAGTTAATACCATTTTGTATTTTTTCTTAGAATTTCTTTGATCCATAAATTCTTTAGAGGTATGTGGTATAATTTTCAAATATTTGTGCATTCAGCAGCTCTCTCTTTGCTGATGATTTCTAACAACTCTGTGATGGTCAGAGCACAATGTATGACTGCAATCTTTTTAAACACTGAAGCTTGTTGTGTGACCTACTCCCTGGTCTACCTGGGGGAGGGCTTGCTTCACATGTGCCTTCTGCAGTCACTGAGTGGGTGCCCCATGTACGTCAGCTATAGGTGTTTAATAAGACTGGAGTCCTCTCTGTCTGTGTGATTTTCTCTCAGTGACCAAGGATGGAGTACTGATGTCTTTCTTTATTATTACCGAACTGCTCATTCTTCCTTTGAATCCAGGTGTTGTTTGATAAATTCTGGGGCGATTATGAGTGCGCATACATCTGTAACCGCTACGGTTTCCTATGTGTTGATCCTTTTATTGTTATGAAACACCTGTCAGGCTCCACTATAAAGTCCCTTGTTTTAGAGCCAATTTTGTTTCTGTTTAATACAGCCACTCCGGCTCTATGGTTACTGTTTGCATGGTTCATCCTTTTCTATCCTTTTTCTTTCAACCTACTTGTGTCTCTGAATTTAAAGTGTGCCTCTCGTACACAAAAAAGAGCTGACTCTCACTTTTAAAATCATTTTAACAATATCTGCCTTTTGTTTGGCTTGTGTAGACACCGCTTTGTAATTACAGGCACAGACCTACATTTGCCATTTTGCTTTGTAGATCTGCTGTCGTTTTTTGCCTCCCTTTATCGACTCTCTTGTATTAAATACTTTTTACTGTACCATTTTGTTTCTTTGCTAATTTTCTTTTACTGTTCTGTTTCTAGGAGTTTTTGTTTGCTTTGGTTTGGATTTTTTTACTGGTCGCTATAAGGATCACACATGTATATTAATTTGCAGCAATCCACTTCTGGATAATACTATCTTAATTTCAGTAAAAGGTGGAGTCTTTGTACCATAAAGTCCATTTCTTTCACCCTTCTTTTGTCTACTGTTGTCTTTCCTCAGTATCCACAAGGATTGACTGTATGACCCACCATGGGCACCAAAACCCAAGTCTCTTATATAAAATGGTATGGTACTTGGAAATAAACTACACGCTTACCCTTTAAGTCATAACCCTTAAATCATCTCTAGATTACTTATGATGCCAGATGCTATGTAAATATTTGCTATACTGCATTGTTTAGAGAATAACAAAGGGTAAATCTATATGTGTTCACTACAGAGCAATTTTTCTCCAAATAGTTTTGACCTGTAATTAGTTCAATCTGATTACAGTCAGCAGAAGCTGACTGTATTTACACACTGCATCTGTGCATTATAAGCCCCAAAACATGGTTTTATAATCGTTGCTAAACCCCATTTTATGACTTTTTAAAGAAGCTGGGAAAATACATGTATAATCTTTTCTATTAATGCACAGCCACCATTCCCAGTGTTCATTTCCTCTTTGGGTCTGAATTACTGCTTAGTGGTGTTTCCTTTTGGCCTGACAGAATTCCTGTTGTACAGCATAATGCGGGCACGCAGCAATGAATTTGCCCAGAGTTTCTTTATGTTCGTGTCATCTTCTTTCTCAAAAGGCTTGTGTTCTAAAGTGTGACTTCCTCAAAGACCCCGGTGTCTGTGCCCCTTTGTGTCAACTAGTGAGTGAACTGAGGTTACGTCCGGATTCCTAGGCCACTCACGCTCTTATGCCCTGCCCATGGGTAGCAGGACACGCCCTGTCCCTGTGCCCATGTGAGCAGCCTCAGGCTTGGTCCCCACACCTGCCCACCTGACGAACCTTTACACCTGATCCAGCGTGGAGAGGAGGCCCGGAGCAGATTGAGTCAGGAATGTCCGAGTCTCCCTGTTTTTCCTCAAAGTCTGGCTGTTTCTCACTCACAAACACTTTTCAGATTACTGTAGCCTCTGATCCATTTCCAGAGCGCTCTAGTGACTGCTTTTTTTTTTTTCTGTCTCACTTACATACTTCTGAATGTCAACTTCATCAACTTCCTTATGCAATCATGGCCACTCAAATTTGATGCCAAAATAGATCATTTTTCCTCAAACCACACCCAAAGTGCACCTGGAATATTTCAATGGTTTCTTTGCACCATTACTGGTCTTACAGATACAGGACCAAATTCAACCAAACTTTCTGTTTCTTCTCTTTTTTATTTCTACTGGCATTCATGATTCATTAATCCAATTATGTGTAGAATGCACAACAGATTGCCTGCTATGTGTCAATCTAGTACTTTAAATTTTTTTATTCATAATACCAGCAGTTGTTTCCCTCTTCCATTAGCAGCCCTGGAATTCAAGTATTTGTTTCACCACAAACTGTATCACGAAGCTTCCACAACATCCTATCAATAATGACAACACTTCTATAACACTTACGGTGGGCCAGGCATTACTCTGTGTGCACAGGTTAATTCATTTAACTCACTGTTCCTCTACAAATAGCTGCTATGGTTTTTCTACAGATGAGGAGAGAGAGAGAGAGAGGCTCCAGGAAATCTGTTGAAGATCACAAAGGCAGCAAACAGCAAAGAAAGGATCTGAATTCAGGCTTTCTGACTCCAAACCCTTCATTCCACTGCACTACCTCATCGATCTGAGACTGGCAAACACCAAGAATCTATTACTTCACTTTGATATTCCCGGTCCACAAGGGGAGAGAAGCAGCTACTTCAAAGGCCTACGCTAACGGTCTTTCCACTTGAAATTATTATGTCTCGCACTCAAAATGACCCACGTCCTGTTTATTAAAACTAGCTGCTCAAAGAACTGTTATATATATCAGAACTTGCTAAGACGTGTCAAAAAGCTCTTATTATAAAACAAACTTCATGGGAATACCTTAAGTGCATTAAACTCATTTCCTATGGACATTCCATGCCTGATTGCAATGTGAAAAGCATCAGGTATTTTAATATAAATTTAATATCAAATATTGCTAAGAATTAACCACATCCCATTATTTCAGGAATACACATAACTATTTGAAGAAATAAATATGTATCTTTTCTTTTTCTTTCTCTTCCTCCCTTTCTTTCCGTTTCAATTGGCCTTTTTACTCAACTCCTTCCAAATCTTGAAAACATGATTTCAAATACAAAATTTGCATTTTGATGAGTCCCTTTACTTAGTTCCCGGGCTCCTCCCTCCGTTGATTCCTAAGTACAAATCTACAGGTAAAAGTCTGTTTTATCTATGACTTTCCGCTCGAGGCCTCCAGAGATCACACAAAGATTCTACTGTTCCAAAGACAATGACAGCCAGCGTCACATTCAAGGCCATGAATCCCAAGGCTGGGCATGGTGGCACGCGCCTGATCCCAGCATTCCCGAGAGGCTGAGGCAGGAGGACTGTCGTGAGTCTGACGTCAGCCTAGGCTACCTAATAGGACCCTGCCTCAAACCCTCCCTGCCAAAAAGAATTATGAACCCCAGATGGCCACTGGCACCCTCCCTGCTCAGGAGGAACAGGCGCAGAGCTGAGCAAGAAGGCCCGGGAGCCTGTGTTGAAGGTCTGCTCGCTGCCCAGTATCTTTCACCTGGCGAGCACCTGTGTCACAGGAAGCTAAATGTACACTGTAAAGACAAGTGTGCAGGGAAGATTTTTTTTAACTGCTAAATGCAAAAAAAAAAAAAGTAACTGTGTTTACTTTAGCATCATTCGCTTGTCAGGGGCAGATGGCTGAACCCTGAGTTCAGGAGATTACAAAACCTAGGAACAAAGCAAGGAGTTGAAAGACCAAAGTGGAGAAAATTTGCCCAAAGCAGAATAATTATTGCCATATAAATCATTTTAAGATTTTTTTAAAATGACCCCGGTGACCTGTGAGGTAGTGGAAGAGGAAAGTCAAAATGACACATTGCTAATCACGCCAAGAGACCCCTTTCCCTTTCCTGATGCCGTTTCCTCAGCGTGAGTGGCAGCTTCCTCGCAGGCCGGCGCGGGGCTGATTTACCGTGAGGCTCAGGGCACCAGGATGCAGCAGCCTGGCCTGCTCTTCGGTCCTACGCACCTCACAGCCAGGCCGAGGCAGAGCTCGGCAAACGGCCCAGGGAAGCGACTCGCCATTATGCAATGTGACAACTTTAAGGGAAAAGAAATAAAGCAGCATTTGTACCTTCTCTAAACTATTCACCTACTCAATTACTTCAAAAGTATTTTGTGCCATGCAAATAGGAAGCTGCTCTTCCACCACCCCGCTAGAATTAAATTTTGACGTGTTAGTCCACAGAGCGCTGAGTCTGCTCTCAGTTCTCCTAACCTGATTGTGTTTCTTTACATTTCACAACTCAGGGCAAATGAACCTTCCTAAGGCTGACTCTGACCCTGTCTCTTTTCTGCATGGCTCCACATGTCCAATTTTCAGTGAATCATGTCCCTTCACCTTGGGTGAGACCCTGTAAGAAAACCCCAACTCACCTTTCTTTACCCCCTGCCACTACTACCCTATATTCATCCCCCTCCGGATAAACCAGACTTTTCATTTCCCACTGGGTCTTTCCAGTTGCTTCTTGCCTTTGTTCAAACCGTTCACTGGCTCCCACATCCAACCCTGCCCCGCTAAAATGCTCTCTAAGACCCAGCAAAATAATATCCACACACAAAACTTTTCCTAACACAGCAGTACCTTCGGTTCACGAACTGAATTCTTTTCATGATTCTGGTCATACACCAGATCAGACCAGAACCAAATCAAAATTCCCTATAAGGCCAACACTGAACCTAACTATTGAATTTGTTCTCATTCAACCCACTGGCGACCAGAATCATGGGAAGAATTCAGTTGGTGAACTGAAGTGCCACTGTAATGTCACTGCACTGACTGGAACCCTGCACTGCTGCCAACCTGAAAACATGTTTTCTAAGCCTCTTTGGCTCCTTTATTAAGTCCACCTTGCGGCACAGCTATTGGACTCTCACTGTTGAGGGCTGAGAACATTGTGCCCTGCATGTAATATTTGTTGAATGAAACCAAAACCATTCTTTCAGAGAATACAAGGCCATTCTCTTCTTAATATATATTTCCTTCCCCTATACTGTCTTCATTTTTGTTTTTCCTATTAAAAAAAATCTACAATTCATTAAATAATTTTGGCTCTTGATCTTTTCCAGGTAAACTTCTCCTCCATATTTTTTATTTGTTTCATTTCTCAAAACAGTGTCTCTCTGTGTAGTTTAGGCTGGCTTCGAACTCACGGGATCCTCCTGTCTCAGCCATCTGAGTGCTTAGATTATGAGTGTGCATCACCACACCCAGCTTCCATACTGTTTTTCATGGACATACAGGGACCCAGGCCTGACGATTCTTGCAGAGCTTCAGTGCCCCATCGCACCCAGGAACACCACTCAGCATGCCAGGAGCATAGGCGGGGCATTCGTAACCCAAAAATCTGAAACCCTCAACTCAGAACTCAACAGGATAATCAGAAAGTTTCAGAAAGTTTCAAGTTTTGGAACATTTCAAATTCAGATTAGGGCTGCTCACTCAGGAAAGTCTTTGGAAATATTTCAAAACTAGAAAAACACTTCTGGTTTCAAATATTCCAGATAAGAAGTACTAAACCCATATTTTAAACATAGAAATCATCTTAAAACATGCGCTAGGGTTCTAAGACTGTCCCTGGGGTAACAAACCTTAATTACCAATAGTGTCTTTCTTCAAAGCCACTCGAACATACTAATTGATATCACTGCAAATTCCGTCAACTGATCAGGGATTCAAGGGATTCAACTTGACGAAATTTTCTGACAATTCTTCTCTGCTCCACAGCCTGAAGTGTCCATTATTATTTATAAATAAGAATTAAAGAGGTGAGAAATATGTTGTCTGTTATTTAAGCAAAAAATAAAGAATGAAGTTAGGCATGGTGGCACATGCCTATAATCCCAGCACTCGGGAGGCTGAGGCAGGAGCACCAGTGCAAACAAGTTCAAGACCAGCCAGGGCTACAAAGTGAGCTCAAGACCAGCCTGAACTGCGCAGAAAATATAAAAAAAGTGAAAATAGTCCTCGCTACATGGTTATAAAACACAACAGCAAAAGCAGAGCAGTCCCAGAAAGCTAAATGCAACACTCAAATTTTCCATCTATACAAATGCGTGGGGCTGACAAATATTAACTTCAATTTTTTGAAAAAAATTATTTTTTAATCCCAGCAAGTTTTACCTACCTTTTCTAACCCCACCAAAACTCTTGACAGTAGCAGAAATCTAAAAATACACAGCATTCATTCTGAATGTGTAATGATAAATGGATCTTTCTTGCTCAGCACTAATTTCTCTAAGGCTCTGGGGCTGCAGGCTGTAAACGCTCAGCCAATAAAGGTCAGTTCAGTTACCTGCTGAATGAGGGAGCGAGCCTCCTCCGAGACGCTTTCCGGCATGTTCAGGGTGGTGTGGGTATTTATCCCCGCCGGGTGGCACTCAACCAAAGTCTGAAACGATCAATCAGGTACACATCTTACAGCACACTCTGCTGCAGCACAGGGATCTGGGTGGGGTGCAGGCGGGTCAGGGCCACCTACGCAGTTCAGGCCATGCACCTACAAAACTAACTGACACCAAGGCAGCCCATACCACGACCACAGATCATAGGACAGGCCCTGTCTCTCCCCTCCCTCCCTTAGAAAATAAGGGCTCCTAATGAAAAAGCTTCAATTACACACAAAAGCCAAAGAGAGACTTGAAACCGTTGACACATTTTAATGTTCTTAAAAACCACCTTCAAAGTGTGGAATCTGTTAGAGATAACACTTCACGTCTATGTAACACTTTATAGTTTAAACACATGAAAAGTGCTTTGTGAACTTCACAACAATCTTCGGTCCGTATTTACATAGTTAAGGCAGACATCTGCAAAAATGTAACTTCGTTCCCTCTGTTTTCTTCCCAGGAGGCAATCTGCCTAACTAAAGTCTATTAAAATCAAACATACTTAAAAGTTATTGATCAGAGAGACTATAAATCCTTGTCCTTAAGCTAGAACAGATAGAAAAATTTAGTCCTAAGAAAAAAGATGTTACCTTTAATAGCTACACTAATTTTCTAAAAATTAGAATTCCCTCTCTGCTTCAGCTAAGACGTTAAAGCCATCTAGAAAAAATCTAATACATCCTTATTATAAACTTTACAGATCTGACCCTCTTACAGTTGAATCAGGAAAACAAAGGAGAAAAATACACTATGAAACACTGTGACATAACAGAATTTTACCATTGATTTATTCAACCAAATACGACCCTATTTTTTTTTAAATCCAGAGTCTTGGTAAGTCTGCATTTCTCTTTTCATTTTTCTTTGTGTCAAAGCCTTTTCTTACTTAGTCTCTGACCTAAAAACTAAAGGCAAAAGCTAACGCTCCCAACTGGAAGTCAAGGTGGCAGTTGGACACATTTATTAAACATCCAGGTCGCTGCTTACCTTGCCAGTGAGAAGTTCAAAGAGGACAGCACCCAGGCTCCACCAGTCACAGGCTTCCGTTTCCTCTGTGATTGCTCCAACCTCTAAACATACCAAAAAAGGTTGATATTAAAATTCCAAAGGTCAATTAAACTTTCAAAATTAACATGTATTAGCAAGGTGACCTTGTTAATGCTGAGCGAGCAGATACTAAATACTACTGGGCTTTCAAAATTCCTGCAAGTTACTTATCCCTCTGGTCACCTACTGTGGCTGCATTTTTTTCTCTGACGCAGTCATATATTAAATGGAGACATTTGTTCTTTAGTTGATAGAGGGACACCTTCAAGATGCTACTCTTAAAAGTTACATGAACTACGAGGTCAGCGCTTTGCTTCAACTTTCACATTCGAAGCACTGCAGCTGATTCTATCTTCCAAACGCTAAAGGCATATGTTAGAAATAAAAACTCTTTTAAGTTCAAGAGAAGCTTCAAAACACATCTAAGTCAATGTTCATCATCCTTTTACTTGCAGGTTAGAAACCAGAGGAGTGAAATTCCCTCAGTGTCACATGGCACACGAAGACCTGGTTTTCAATTTCACCTGCCCTTCCCTATAGAAGTGATCGCTTTTCAACTAAACAAGTTGTGATTGAGAAACAGCCAGAGACACCGCGCTCAGTCACCACTCAACCTACTGGCTAAAATAAGGATCTTCAGAATACTGTTTAGAAATTACCTGTTGTTACCCTATCTCCAGCACAAGTTCCTGAACATAGTATCAGTTTTTAGGTGCCATCTTTTAGCTTCTTCCACAAACCACCACCAACTCATTGCCCCATTTTTGAGGCCTGTGGCCCGTAAGCCATGTTTGCTTTCTTGTCCTTTCCTAAAGGCATCCTATCAGTCACTAGGTGTGCCAATCTTGGCCCTTTCGCCTCAACTAAGCAAACAGACCCTATTTCCTGACTGCAGGGAACCCTAACTTGGAAAACAGTACATGGCCAGGGTGCCCAGGTGCCAGCCCTTTCCACCAGTGCTTAATGTAATGTAACTGCATCGTACTGAGAGCCGCAGTTCTTCAGATGCCCTGAGCATCTTAAGGCTTGAAGCAAAGGTTGTAGACAGCAAAGGGGTAGGGAAAGAGACATAAAGGTCCTCTTATGTAAAATACTGAAATCACTCATTTCGGCAGCCCTTTCCACACACCTTCCTCTGGCCTCACAGCCGTCCTCCTCCAGAGTTTCAACCCAAATAATCACAGCCTTCATTTTCTAACTAGCTGCCCTCAGCTAGGTAGTAAAAAGATAAGCAACGTTAACTGATTCAAACTATTCAGTTTGGTTAACTGAAAGACTCCAACCTTCCTAGAACCATCTGCACTAATTAAACAGGCGCTTGTTTAGATAACTGCTAACCACCAATCCAGTAAGAGGGGTTCAGTCCTATATGCTGTAGGGTACCTATGTAAAGTTCAATCCTGTATGCTCTAGGGTACCTATGTGGTGGAATGCTACTGTATCATTTTAAACGACACCTTCATATACAACTAAAGTATATCAGCGCATTTTTGTATGCATTATTTTTAAAAACCTATAAACAGAGTGGAGGATGCAGTTCTGTGGTAGAGGGCTTGCCTAGTACGTGCAAAGTCCTAGGTTCAATCCCCAGCACCACACACATACAAAAAAAGGAAAAGCTATAAAACAATAGCTTTCTATTGTTTAAAAGAAGACTGGTAAGAAAATATGTAGTGATTTGCTTCTGGGATGATTTATACTTATTAGTCTACATAAACATCTAAGTGGTACAATTAAAGTGTGGCAAGACTTTGTAACTTCGACAGGTGAAGGGTTTCCTTTGACACAGGGAAGCCAGAGATGTGCAGGCAACATCTGCCCTAAGAGTGTTCGGCTATACAATTTTCTTCACAAATTTAAAGTCTTTCATATTAGAAGAACAAGGAAGTAGGAACCAGGAATTCTGGGTTGAGTCTTACCAAAATCACCTGATCTCACCCGTTTGCTCCTATCCCGTTACACTGTAGATATGTTACATCCTAGCTTACACTGAGCTCTGCATCCTATGATTTTTGATATTTAAGGATTCCCTACCATGGCAGTTGAGAAGGGCAACTTCCTGAGGTCTCCCTTGTGAGGTGTGCATGCCACCCCTCCCAGATCCAGATTCAAAGCCCCCTTCCTCACCCTACCCCCCCCAGAGCACCTAGAAATGTGTGCTCAGAAAGCTGAGAAAGGGTTTATGTTCTCAGAAACTTTAGAAAAGTAAAAAGGAAATGTACCACATTCCTGTCAACAAACAGGATGGTTTGCACATTTCCTCGCAGTCGAAACCAAGCAATAGATTTTACTGAAATAAAATTCTTTCATGCCTTCTAACGGCCATCAGCTAACATTCAAATGTCTGGCATGCACAGAGAGCCATTCTCCATCGTGAAGTCTCAAGCTATGGGATTCACCCAACCCAAAACAGCAAACAGCATGAACTAGGTCCCGGCGCTGTGCCTCCATGGACTCTGTGCTTTTTACAGTCAGTTTTCCCACTAGCATTGTCAATGATTGATCTTTTTGCTCAAGAATTTCAGTATTCCATTTTCTTTAATCACCCAGCAAGTCATGTGTACTTCTTAGTCTAATAGTTAACAACTCAAGATCCAAAGTGAATGGATCAGCACTTTGGTACCACCAAGAAGCTTCATTTAGCACAAATGCTTTATAATGACATAAGGAATCGTGTTAAATGCTTTTCATGAATTATTTAAAATGTCCAAGCAAGTTTACAAAAAACACATGTGAGCAGAGTGACTTTGGGAAAGAGAATACTGTATTTATGCATCCAGGGAGGTGAGAGCTATCTGATCCAGACCAATGGGAAATAGAAAGTGGCTTTTGGGATCAAACACACCCCCGAGGAGTCCTGGAACCTTACCCCAAGTCTCTATTCATAATGAAGCTCCTCGTTAGAAGTGAGCAAAGCGTGGCTGAGATGGGTCTGTGTAATTAACACAATTCGTAAACATGCCTTTCAAATTCAGCAAAAGCCCCAGTGTCATCACCACTGTAGCTTCCATCATGGAGAGTGATGTTACACAGTGCTTCCTCCACACCCCTCCCAAAGCTGTGTACCCCAGCACAGGGCATCAGTGTACAGGGTGTGAGGGGTGTCCTGAAGCCACTCTGCAAACACAGTGTGCCTTCCTGAGCTTCAGAGGTATTCGTATGTACGGGAGGAAGTGAGATATTGTTTTATTATTAAAAAGAAACACAGACCATTTATGGAACACAATGTAAAATTTGCATGGATTTGCAAGATAAAAGGACTTCAAAGAAACCTCGGAGCCTGTTCACTGGTCCCCTGAGATGCCCATTTCATATCACCTCTGCAGTCAGAAGCAGCTGGGTGGAAAAATGTGAGAGGTTCCTCAGGAGAAGAGCAAGGTGGATTCTTTATTGTTTTCTGCAGACCTGCTCAGCTCATCTAGCTTCACTGGCTTCTGCTGCTTTTAAGTCCTTGGTAACTTTCAACTGGGCTCCTCACCAAGCAGGCAGTGACCCTCATGCTGCTTCACAGTAGCTTCCAGTGCGGGCTGAGCCCACCCAGGGCCCACTGTTCTCCTTCAGCTTGGTCAGCTGCAAGCTGCCGCCCTCCCTCGGTCCCCACCTTTTCTTCCCCCAGCTGCTGGGCTTCTTTCCTCTCTCCTCATTTTCTCTTCCTTCCTTCCTCTTGGATGCAATGAGCTCAGCTTTCTAATGACTCCCAGGCCTAAGGAGCTTGTTGGTCCCATCCAAGAAAAACTGCTTCCCAAAGCCTGAAGACAGCTAGGCTGGGAGCCAGTCACGGGACCACAGCTATAAGAAGGTAACTGTTTTTCACTGGGACATAAAATACACTAAATGCATCTTCAAGGTATCCCCTTAACAACATAGCCTGAAACTCTTCAGAATGACTTTATATTAAGCAGAGACTCACTAATTAATGTGACATCATAACTGCGGTCCCTGATTTTCATAGATGACTCAAAGCTATAATTGAGGGTTCTGTACTTAAGGAAGATATAAAGAAGAACCTACTAACAGCCAGGCAGCCTGAACATCAGAAAAAAGTAAAGCCCTTACAGAATTTCTTCTAGGTTTTAAAAGAGAAAAAAAATTTTTTAGATTCTCACAACAAATGACTTCAGCTGTCCTTTTAACAGCCTTAAGGAGCAATAATTCCAATTTTAAAAATGTTAAGACATGCACTGCAGTCACACTGCTGAAATGAAACCTGAGAGAGTCTGGTTCTGCTCTAAGCCTGCTTCATTCCCAAAATCAATTTAAAAACTCAAGCACGCACTAAGAGCACTGACTCATATATAAAGCTACAATGAAGTTCTACACCACCCAAGTATAACATCCAAGCCTAACATCCAAAGTACAGAAATACCAAATACCTCTGTGAGGCTATTAGTTTAAAGGATATGCTCCACTACTGCTTTATCAATGCTCAAAATATTTTTCCCAGACAACAGAAGGTGTTAATATCTGTGCAACACAGCCCCCACCAATATCCTACACTTGCAGTTTCCAGGTTGAATTGGGTAGTATCTTTACTCCCCACAGGGGCGGTGGTCTTGTAAGCATTAAGCAAAGTGATTTGGGGAAAAATTAACTACTGCCTCTGAAAACAATTTCTCAGGTTACCCTGCCAAAACCCGAAGGAGCTGGTGATATCCAACAGTGCCTGATCTTCACCCTCTCCATGTCCCAGAGCACAATGGCAGGGTGACTGCTATAAGAGCTCGCTCGGCTGGGGACATCGCCTAGCCTTCCTGAAATGAGGGCAGCCAGCCGTCTTTCCACCGCTTGGAACCTTCATTTTATCATCCTGAAAAGTGCTTTCAAAAGCACTCATGAGTCTTTCTCACAACTTCTCCTCTGTCCATTAATTTAAGGCGCCCGAAGAGTGAAATTATGCTAAGCCGAGCAGCCAGCATGCGTGAATCTTCTTTCTCCTTCCCGTCTGCCGCCCAGCCCTTCCCTGAGAACCCAGAATGAGCACTGCTGGCAAATGAAATGCAGCAGTGTCACCAAATCTCACTGT